GGACATAACAGAGTGAGACGTGGCGTTCCGTTCCACATTTGGTGCGCTTAAAATGGGTGGAATGCGATGTTCCAATGGACGAATTTTGGTTGAATTTTTGTTCCGCCTCATCCCCTGGAATGACTCGTTCCGTGGAACACAAAATTATAACCTCTTTGTCTCCTTTCCTCCTTGTTTCCATCCGGAGGCATCTTTGCTCCCTCTCCTCTCCGTTCCGTCTTGTCCTGTCCTGTCCCGTCCCGTCCCGTATGCATACCAAACGATACCTTCGTTTGGTGGAACGGACATGATTGGTTATTGTATTTCAGACTGGTTAGGGTAGGATTGGAAGGGATGGGTTGAGATACTTGTCTAGCGTATAGTGTAAACAAAGTCAATTGGATAGGCTGGGATATGAAAAACATTTTAAAGAAAATTTGATAAGTATCTTACACCAAACATTAGACAAGTGTCTCATCTCAACCCATCCTTTTCAATTTTAGCCTAACCATATTGTAATACAATAACCAATCTTGTCCGGTTCACCAAACGAGCCCATAGTTCACCTTCCTTTCCTTGCATATGAGAGAACATTTATGCATTCCTTTTAACTGTCGTATACATTTTTATGCATTCCTGAGAGAACTCTTCCCCTTTTTTCTTCCCAATCAACGATAGATTTTTCAGTGTGATTGGAACATGGGATGATATACCACGTGTTACTATGTAAATGGTGAGATATGTGTATTAAAAAATTAATAAAAACAATAATATTTCCACTAATATAAAAACAAGTAGTGTACTACCTGTGTTCCGTTCACAATAAAAAATTTCTCCCAATCAACGCCTCACCCATTCCCGCGTAATACCAAAACAATTCCTATTAAAAAATCACCCAAAACTATCCCCTCTTTGTTTTTCTTCCTTGTTTTACCCTACAGGCGAAAATTAACCAGAAAATGGCAATAAATTGGGCCTCATTCATCTGATTTTATCCTTCTAATAACTGTTTTATTTTTATTTTATTTTATATAGAAATTGAGATTTTGCATAAAACATACAGAAAGTTTGGGGCCGTAAAATGGGACTGAAAAAAAAAAACCTCTGAGAATAAAGGAAGCCTAACCATCTTGCTCGCCAATTACAATTAATTATCGTTCTCCAGAGCGGTTACTCCACCCAAATAGTAAAACCTCCGTTGCTAAGTCCATATTTCGCTAATTCATAAACTACAATGTTGCATTCACGTCGCTGTCACCGACGGGAATTTATCAAATATAACAAAAAATTAACCTTTAATTTCAAAAATGTCAGTTTTTATAAAAACCTTCATATATATTCAAAATCTCACTTAAATAGACATAACTACCCTTAATTTATATAAATAACTAATTGTTAGACTTAACACTTCTTATGCTATAATCTCTAACTAAAACTTTCTCCTTTTTTTTCTTTTCTTTTCCAAACGAAGAGCAAAAATTTTCTCTCAATTTTATTTTAATAGATAATCAAGGAAACCTTTCTTTCTCACATGGTTCACAGAAAACACTTTAGTATGTTATAAAAGTGAACTATTAGAGTAAAGAAATAAAAGTAATTATTTTTAATTGTCAGAAATTTAAAGAATTGTACGTACAACCAAAATAAACAATAAAATGATCAAAAGAAAATATTTATTCATAAAACTCCAATTTAAAAGGGTTCTACAAAGTAGGATGAAGTAGAACGGGATTCCTACAAGTTTGTTTATAATGGCCATTTGAACCACATTTTGAACACTTTCGAGTTGATTTGTCTTCTCCACGTGATGGGATCCTCTCTTCTTTGCGCCTACCATATCTTCTTTGTGTAATTGGTGGTAGGACAATTCTTTCACTCACATCATCAGTTACTATCCAATCGGTTTGATCATCAACTAGCCATATAGCTTCTACATAGGCAATGACCAAGGAGTTTGTAGTATAATAATGAGAACACATAGGATAACATGAAAGTTGTCGGTGTCTACATGCAGCACAAGCATGTGAGCAAGGGAGTTAGTCAAGATCAAATTGTCGGCATGTGCAACTTTTTTCCTCTAAATTCACAATAACTTCAATACGAGATCCATCATATACATGAAATGAGTTGGTTGCAATGGGCGATACCTGCATGTTCACATACATATATATTACTCAAACAAAAGAACAACTAAACAACCAAAAAAAATATTCCGCATAAGAACAACAAAAGCAATTCGCAATTAGTGATCTATAAGAGAAGTGGATGAATACCCTGAACTGCTGCATAAAACTACAAAGGCAATTATATAAAATCATAGCAGCAATTACGTTGGAAATCACAAGATATGGTTTTTAACTTTTTTCTTGTCAAAGCCTAGTTTTTTTTTTTTACTTTAGCCTTTTACATTGCAAACATACATTTATTCTTTACTAAACATGGCAGTGATGGATAAAGCTACAGATGGGATATAAGAATCGGTAAAAATAGTTTAAAAACTTGAGAACAAATGAAAGTGTACCAAAATTAAATAGACAAATTGAACTAAAATCTATTTAAGTGAATTCAAAATACGTGTAATGATAATCCTTGCTTGTTATTTTCTCGCACTAATTTGTTTGCCCAATCTATCAAATGTGTATTCATTTTGGATGCCTCAGTTCGACGCTCTTAAAACCACTTCTAGAGAATGTTCATTCTTAAATACTCAAGAAATCGTGTGATAGGTAGTTTTCGAGCATCTCTGGTGATTGCATTGAGACATTCAACAATATTTGTTGTCATGATGTTGTACCGTTTTCCATCAAAGTATGCAAGAGTCCACTTTTCATATCCAGCCGAATTAAGATAATCACCCACCTCAGAGTCGACTTTATATATTTCTGTCATAAGACGATGAAATTCAGGGATTCGATATGCCTTAGCAGCTGTAAAATACAGTTGTGTGCTCTCTCATGCTTAAAATGGTGCCTAATGTTTTGACTTACATGAAATATGCATGCACAATGATGGGCATTGGGGAAAACATTTGAGAGAGCCTTCCGAATGATCTCATGTCTATCAGAAACAAACACCAAGTCATCAATTTCCCTAATTGCTTCTCGTAATTTTGTCAAACACCAATTCCATGATGCGTCATTCTTTGAATATCCAACTCTGAATGCTAGAGGGTATATTTGTTTGTTGCCGTCCATGCATGTGGCAACAAAGTGCCAAGATATTTACCCTTTAAAAATGTCCCGTCAACCGCTATTACCGGCCTAATAACACTTCTAAATCCTCTTATGCAAGGTCCAAGTGACATGAAACAGTACAAAAAATGATTATTCTCATCTGTTTCAATATGTGTTATCGTACCTGGATTTTTAGCTTCTAACACAGCAAAATAAGCTGGAAGTAACAAGTAAGATTCCTCTGGTGATCCCCTAACCAACTCCAATGCATGTTCCTTAGCTCTCCAAGCCTTCACATAACTTATACTCACACTCATGTCATTCCTCATATCTTCTATGATGTCACGTGGTCTATGTAGTCGTGATACACCCTCGTACTTAGACTTTATGCATTGACCAATAAGAGAACTACTTGCATGTCGATGATGGCAATTAATAACGTCTAATGAGCATGAGTGCATAGTAATGTATTTTTTGACATTGAACTATGATGATTGTTGTAATTTAGAAGCAAATAGTTTCCACTTGCATCCATCGCCGACACAACCAACTTCAAACCTTTCTTTGCTTGATCTCTCCACTCTGAACTCATAATTGTTCTTCATAGCATGAATACCTAACTTTTTTTTAAAATCCTCCTTAGTCTCGTACAATTGGCCTACAACTATATCTCATCTGAATTGCACAGGTCTGCCTTGTTTGATTCATGTACAATATTTGTACCCTTGTGAACATTTGATTGGTTAGAGCTGGGTTCATCAAATTGCACATTAACAGGCACATCATCACATACCATCCCTTCAGGAGGCAACTCATTGACAGTTCGTTCTTCAATAAAATTAAACCGAAAGAAGAAACTACATAAGCAAAGAGAACATAGGCTAGGAAGAATGAAAAACTTAACCATCTACACTCACCTTCGTACATTTAGGGTTGCACAAAGTCTCCACAGTAGCCGATGCCTTCACTGTATCTCCACCATTTTTTAGGTTTTGCCGTCCAAAATATCAATCTAATAGGGTTTTGGTTTTTCTAATTTATTTGGTTTTAAAGTTTAAGGGCATTTGTGTCTATTTAAGTGATATTTTGGATATATTTGAAAGTTTTTATAAAAACTGACATTTTTGAAATTAAGGGCTAATATTTGGCTATATTTGATAAATACTTGTCACCGCAAGTAAGAAAGATTGAACCTACTCTTCAAATCATTAACGTCCTTTAAAATACTGTCATCTCTATCGAGACGAAGGAACTGGATCCTCTCCAAGACAAACCCTCGGAATCCTGCTGAGCGACAAACACAGGCCGTTGGATTTCTGTGTTTGTCACTCAGCAGGATCCCAAGGGTTTGCCTCGGAGAGGATCCAGTTCCCGAGACGAACACCAGCTGCATTAATGCACAACGCCTTTAACATCAAGTTCCAAAATAATAGCATGAAACCCAACGTCATATGTAATATCAATCCCTCTTTAAATCACTAATTGGTACTCTAAAAAAATCACAATAAATCGGACCTCAATCATCTCGTTAACCTTTCTCATTACATTCCTTCAATCTCTAATTAGTTTCCTCTTCGAACCCCAATTTCATTTTTCTCCTTTTACGAGTTTGTGCTAAGAAAAATGAAGGGAAAAAAAATAAAATCAAAACTGCCATCCAAAGGTTATATTCCTTCTATTTCCAACTACCTTGCTGTTTCATGGAATTCTAACCATTTTAAGTCAAATACATTTAGAGAGAAATATAATTTAACGTCATGCCGATTCGGGGTGTTACAAAATTCAACGAAATTTAGCTCCTTCAACCGCGATTATCGTGCTTAAATCCGCTATTATATAGGCCAACCGTAGATTAAGAAAATTCATTTATGCAATCGAATTCCATTTCGAGACAGCCATCAAAATCTAAAAGCATTATCCGAACAATGTAAACAACGATGGCAGTTACAAACCACAAAAAAGGAAGACAAGATTGGTACAATTCAGAAATCCCGGAAGCTCATTCTGGGATCCACCTTCTTACCCGCACCTCGCCCTCTTCCCCTATGTCCACCTCTCCTTCCTCTGCCCCTTCCTCTTGATCCGAAAAACGATTTGCCATATTTCATCTCCACTAGTGAATGGAGCAATTCATCACAAAGAATGCAACCAGTGTACAAGGTCTCTCCGTTCTCCAAGGGTGTCGTCTTTTTATTGAAATCCACTTCTAAGATTGTGGAGTCGCACTCTGGACACCGCTCTCGAGTAGTGGAAATTTGGTGAGCACCTTGGGGTAGGAAGACAAGGAAATTGCACATGTTGCAGCAGAGCCGCCACTTGGGAGCACTCACAGGGTCTAGAACAAGTGTTCCACTACAGTCCGGGCAAGCACAGACTCCTTGGGCTATCAAAGAATGCCGACATGTGGGGTGTGGGCAGAGGAAGCATGGCATGCCGGCTCCCTTTCCCAGCTTGCCAGACGGGCCAGATTTTACAGCACCAAAGAGCGTGTCGATACCTTCAAATGGAGGACTATTGTAGCAGTATGGGCAGAGAGAGAATGACTTGCCATCTGGGCCGGGCATGGAGCAGATTAATAGCTCAAAGTTGTCCAGAGGACAAGTAATTTCCTTGTAGAGCTGCAAAAAAAGGCATTCTGGATGATGAACGATAAAGTTCATAATTTTGAGCCATATATTCGAACTAATGTTGAAAACTAAAAGATGAAGCGAGGTCATGTTTGTACATTTTTCCAGCTTCAAGATGCGGGAATATATAGAGTTAGTCTTCCAATCCTGTATTATACATATTATACTGTAACTGGGGTATCCGGGTCATCAACCCAACAAATCCCTAAGGGCACATGTCGATTCTCCATCCTGAACAGCCAGGACAAACAATGGAGGTGCCTCACAGGAGTGTATGCATCTGCTGGTCGGACACAAGGCCTAGGCTTCTAGAGGATAAGATGCTATCTGTATCACCTTCGTATACATTTGTTTTTGTTAAAGTGAGAGTACTCAGCCCAAAAGTATATATTTGGTGCAAGGGTTTAAATATTCAAATAAAATGTATATTATTTTGCTTCGTAATTTTTTCATATAATTTTTTTTTTCAATTTTTATGCAAAAATTGTATTTAGAGTCTCACTAGTTTACACTCTTTATAACTTCAATGTCTATTTTCTTAAATCTTAACATTTATGTAAATCTATTACTTCTATATCGTCAAAAAGGGAAAGGCATGCCAGTATACCTGGAAACTGTATGTTATATTCCATAAAAAAAGATTAGAATACAAAAATGGGTATTTACCGACCTCGATTTTAATTTGTTATGCATATCATATTAAAATTTTGGTTGACGCTTTTCAATCATAACTAAAGAACATCAATTAACAGAGTATACCTTTATGCTACCCTTTTGAGGAAGATAATAAACCTCCTCGCATGTATTACAATACAACCGCGAAGGTTGGCTGGAAATATGCTTCATGTACCGTAGACATTTTCCACATTTACTGAGAACTCGTCCTGAGTCAGCAAGGGGAGAGAATTGTGCTTCAAATAATGCATCCATGTTTTCAATCTGCACCATGTAGCAGAAAATGGATCATACAAACTTCGAAGCTCGCAATGTAATCCAATAAACCATAGAGCTTAATAAGGAGGCTGAAAAGCAACATATTCAAGGTGGCCCAAAGTATTTGAGTACAAGGTTTCATTACCGAACCCAAGTTGGCAAGGTCAACATAAACAAGCCCTTCACAAATAATTGGCCGTACAAACATAGCTAAATCATCAAGCAAGCTGTAAAGTAGGCATATTTCAAATGATACGGTATTCTAACCTGCTTGACAAAATAACTGTATTTTTGCATGAATTGTTGCAGGACATGCTGCACAACACGAAAATGATCTGCTTGACCCTTAGCAACAAGAGTAATCTGTTGCTCAATGAAACTGCGAATATCTGGCAAACAGAGATCTGGATCAATGCATTGATAGCCTCTTATTAGAGTAATACCCAAGGCAGTCGGAACCAACTTCCTGCCAGCTTGTACCTGCCAATTGATTGTATAGCAGAACCACCTCATTGAAATGCAGTTTAAAATATATTTGTATGAACTCCCATACAACAAACAAAATCCCTATAGAAAAGAAAGAGAATAGAAACCTGCACATAATTGCGCTCGCATATGTTGTTAATATGAACAGATATTGAAGCATCCGTGCCAATTCCATTTTTCTCCATAAGGGAAATTAGCTCACTCTCGCTAAGATAATCTGGAGGTGAAGTCAACCCCTGCACCGTAACTTAAGGATTCAAAACTCCAAATTACATACCAAATCACACCATGCTACTAAATTATCCTATTTACACCCTTTCTCTTGCTTTCCCCTTATTCCCAAACATCTCAAACAAGAGCATTTCCCTTTCCTTCAGGAGCAGCAAAAGATTGGAAGACCCGATCAAATGAAGAAACTATTCAAACAAAATCCAATAGAATGCAGATTCTGAGAAGATATTGGATCAATTGAGGAGACTTACCAAAAAAATATGAAATAAAAAACTGAATAGAAGTGAGATTTGAAGAATATGCACGTCTACCTCATGAAGGTCCACTGTTGAAACTTCTAATTTCTCCCCTTTTGTAAACTGAGGAAGATTTTTCTCATTTATTGCCAACCATGGCATGATAGAAGTAAATCCTTTCACCAAAACACGTTGCCCGACACAATGGAAGGATTCTCCACCAATAGAAAAATCTACCTTTGTTCTGGAGTGGACATTTAAAAACCAAAATAATAAACACATTATATATTCAGGATATAATATCTGTCTCATAAACGATGTTAGAAAAGTAATAAATATCAAACTAATAAGGTCAACTTTAAGCAACTTCAAACAAAGTATCATCTTTACTAGAAAGCTTATAACATTGCTTACATAAATTTCCTACCACAAACCGAAGTTTGAACCAGATATAGCAATACATGATGTATAACTTCACTAAAAAGGTAACCACAATTTAACTTCAAAATAATTTATCATCTCTGTTTGACGTCTTTGAATCAATGGTTTCACCCACCAGCTACAAAATCCATTTAAAACCAGGCCAGGTAAGTATCGACCAGAAATAAGCCATCTCACACTGCATCTGGGGTGAAAAACAGCTTCCCCCAATTCTTATATATCGATCTTATTCATTACTGGAATTCCATCTAGCCAACTAAAAAGGGTTACTCTGGTCATAACATTAGTATGATTTTTTATTTTTTATTTTCACTCAATAGTCAATACTACTATCGCATTATAAAGAAAATGAAGTAAACACATGCTCTAGGCATACAAGGTGGAAATCATTATGCTTCTTAAGTTGATATAGTGAAATTAATGGGCTCAGCCTTTTGAGTTACATACATTAACAAGATGTAACAGCAAACAGACATCCAATCAAGTCTAAATTAACTCCAATTATGTAGTTGGTCAGGTCATCTAACAGAAAACAGTGAACACTGAAACCTTTACCTTACATATTTGCAGTCAGGAGATACAGTCCCAATGAAGTGTTTACAAATGTACTCATATAGTCTCCAAGCATCATTTCCAAGCATGTCCTCAGTTGCAGACCTCAACGGAGTGACAGGAGGATGGTCACCTACATCTGTCCCTGATCGTGGCTTCTGATAACCATCAGCAAGCAGCCTCTGTACATAATCACCCCATGTTGGGTTATTTACTTGTGCACCAAGTGTGCCTCTAAAGTCAAAAGAAGATGGATAAGCTGTGCTCTCGGTACGCGGATAGCTAGGGAATCAGCATATGAAAATAGTCAGACAACTATGACAATCCTCGAACCAAAAGAAACTTGGCATTAGAAAAGAAAAAATAAAATTTGTTGAAATAAGCACACTTCAAGACTAATGGTTGAAGCTAAGTGTAACTGATGTGCATGAAGGGTGTCAGGTTTACAGTTTACCACTTCAACCAGCAACTCCATGAGATGAAATTCTACAAAATAAAAACCTGGACGGCACACTACTTGTAACAATAGCACTTGATACTAAGATCTTAGAACACCAATTCACATAGAAAGTCTAGAACCATAACAATGTTAGAATATCCCCTTAAATTCATTCACCTGAAAATTTGTCTATCAATAAATACTGTTCTATCATTGAAATACTTTGCATAGTAAATAAAGTAGTATCAATTTTAACAAATTATGGGTGTGGTATTGAACATTTATGGGAGGACTTTTGAATAAATTGTTTCCCAGACCTCTTCCCATGTAAAGTTATGAGATGGAAGCAAAGCTCCAAAGCCTCCAATTCTATTTTTCTCAAAAATTCATATGGTGAAATTTACTTTTTACTTCGCTAGTCCATGTTTCTTCAATAGCTAATTTGTAATATTCACTGTCCTGGATGAAGAATTTTCTTGAAATTTATTTATCAGATGGAGAATTCCAACAATTACCTGATGAAACCTTGAGTATACAAGCGTTCAGCAACTTGCATAGCCATTTGTGGTCCAAAGCCTAGTGCACTTGAGGCAACCTGAATTAAAAAGTTAAAAAAGTAAAACTTGTCAATGTACTTCAATAGCCAAATGAAATTATCTCGTTGCATATACAAAGAACTTGAACAAACTGATTAATCCTTTTTATGTTTTATTGTTTATAATAGAAACTAGAGAACTTTTAAGAATGACCTTTTTAACTTAATTTCAAATTTCTAATGGGGTCACTGAAATTGAACTTAGATAATGATTTAAGAGATTGCTTCATTATAATATTTCAAGCTAATACTGCACTGACAAGTTACAACACTAGCAAACAAGCCAACCCAACGAACTAAGATATCCAGAACAATCGCATTTCTCTTCTAGGTGAAAATTATTACAATATTTTCTTTTATTTTGAAATTTTGAAAGAAGAAATCAACTGACTTAGGAGTTGTAATAAGACTGGTTGTCTTTAAGAGCACTTTTTCTTTTTCAGGTTTACATAAAATTTCAAACAACCAATACTGACATTTACTTACACAATCATTACTACCATTTTACTTTAATCCACCTTACATCACTGCCTATCAGCATGAATTTCTTAAAATATTTAGCTTCTAAAATAATTATTCGGGAAATTGGGATCTGGGTCCAATGACTATATTTTGTCCCAAAATTGTGAAGTGGCCAATTACGACCTCGTAGCTCTTTATTTCCAGCACAAAACAGGGCTGGGGAGAATCTAATTTGTACATTCTTTTTTTAGCTGAGGTCAGTATGAAAATTATGCTGAACTTTCCATGCAACTATCTAACACACGACGAAGATAAACTTTGTAATCTGCAGCCATCTACTTCTTCATATTTTCCTTTATTAGGCAGTCTTTTTTAAGTGTGTAAGCGACCAACATGCAATGTCCAGTATTATATAAATTGATCACTAAACTTGGTCACATGATATTAGTAAACAAAAGGTATCATCAATCATCAATCTTTAGTCTTTTTTATTTCTTTGCACTTATCTGACCTTCAGAAGATTGACCGTATTAAGCCCAGATGGACGACTTTTGCTTTCCTGCTTTTCTATTATTTCAGTCACTACTAGCATTCCATCTTCCATTACTAATTTTTGAAACATTACAGCAACCTGCAACATTAAAAGCCTAAAATATATTATCAATGAAAGGGACGTCAAGACAGGAGAGAGTTTATAGTAAAGAAGGCCTCACGTCGAAGTCAAACAACTTGTTACGTTCCCATTCTAGCTGAAGTTCGTAGCCCTTCTGTATTATGTATGGGCGTACGACCCAGAACTTTTCTGGTTTAAATGTATTTATCTGCAAATACCGCTGTACGCAAAATCCAAGGGTCGGAGTTTGGCAAGGGCCATAGCTGAAAAATGAACATTAAGCTTTGATTAGTCTATGGTTCATTGTTGAGATGAAAATGGAACGTGGGAAAAACAATCACAAATAAAAGCAAAATGATAGAATAGAATTATAAAGAACCCCCATGCACTATTAGAACATTGAGATAAAAATAAAAATTTCCTAAACTCTGCCCATTTTGGCGTCAATCCTTACATTTCCCCTTTTACCCACATCTACCTTGAACTTTTTTATTTCTTTTAAGGTTCTTTCCTTTTTCAAACAAAAAAAAGCCATGGCTCTGTGCCAAGGATGAAGGAGAGGAATGAGGAAAGAGGATGGCAGAGAGGCAGAGAAAGAGGGGGTTGAAGGCAGCGGTGAGGAAGACGAATAGCAGTTGCTTTTAGGATTAAAGTGGGGAGGCAGAGAACTGGAGGTAGCTGGCTTTTAGGTTTTAAGTGTGTTCATTTTTGGTAAGTATACATGTTTGTTGTAGTTGCTATGATCGAGGGTTACATTGTTGTTTCTCCATTCTAGTAAAGTTTGAGGGAAAACCAGGTGGCCTTCTGGTTTGCTGTGTTTGTATGGCTATTCTTTCTTTTCTGTAAAATTCCTATTATAAAGAAGAATATAAAAATATAAACAGATGTCCTCATTACAACTTTTCCAGTGCTCAAATATAGTGGCCTTTGTTTACAGCATAAAATTTCTAGGATATAAATGATCCCAATTATAACACAATCACATAGATCTCTACACAGCAAAAGGTTTGATGGCCTTAAGAAGGTAACTAACATAGAAGACCAACATACATATACGGATATGCAATTGCACAAACAAGAAGCTGAATTAGAGCAAAATATCTTAAGATCGGTCAAGGAAATGCAATATATTCACAAGATACAAGTTCTATGCTTCAATCAGATAAATGCATAACGGACTGGAAGCCAAACAGTGTATTAATAATAATTCGTTAACATAAATGAGAGAGAAAACCAACGAGATAACTCTGGCATCAAGATTTCCGTATTTCCCCTGGAAAAAGTGTGTTTGAAATCGTGTAAATGCAACTCCAACTTTCAAATCTATCTCTTGCCGAGCATCTACTGACAATGCCTCGTCTTTATTAGGTTCAACAAGGTTGTCCATGGCCTTCAAAATATCTTTCTCAGTAACAGAGGAAAACCGAGCACGATAGATCTTTCTTCTAGTCTCATTTGAATGGCCAATACACTCGATAACTGCAATAAAAAAATTTAGTGCCCCTTAGACATACCAACATTATATTTATTGTGTAGGTATGGGGAACATAAGAAATGAGTTTCTAAACTCCACCCTTCTAATTACATGTAGAAGTATCTCAGAGTAGTTGAATATAATTAGTAACAGATTAGCATACAAGACTGCAATTGTACAAATTAACAACAGCATTCCTAGTTACGAACAAAACACAAGTATAGGCTGAAACAAGGTTTGAGCAGGAAATATATATGTTTTACTTGCTATGTGTTGTCAGTCAGTCTAGAATTTTTATGAACTTTTCCATTCTCTTGTTAATCAACGCCAATGGAAATTAGCCATCAATTTTCTAGTCTTCCCTATTTCATATCAATTACAAAATACATTCGAGATTCCCTTTCTCTCATTAAAAAAGGTTTACCCTAACATATTCCTACTGTTTTCTTTTCCCAGATGTCATAACAATAATGATAAATTTGAATTCAATAAATACACACCACATCAAGAGAAAACAAACTTATTAACAAGTATTAGATAGAGAAGCAGAGAGAGGAGACTGATAGGGAGAGGGAATGGGAGAGATACCTTCAAAGCAAATGTTTTCCCCTTCACGATCACAGTCCAACCACAAAACCAAGTTACCATAACCGCGAGCTTCTTGGCTTAAATGTCTGCGAATGTGAGCCTTTACACCAAGGTCATCCCAACAAATGACATAAGAATCAGAGGAAAAAGTTTTACGAATCCACAAGAGGACGCAGGGTAAAAAAATTGTACCTTTGGATTTGCTTCTGTCTTGAGAACTGGAGCTTGAAAAAGATCCAGAGGATCAGTCAATGTCCAATTTTGATATTTTTCTGGAAAATCTACACTACAGTTCGAAAGAAGAAAAGGCACCGAGTTAGAAACACAACAAATAAACTACTCAACTTGTGCATAAAGCTAGACAATTATGCCAGATAACATTGAGACGATTGCTAGATTTGCAATGTAATTACATATACTGGTTAAATCAATAAGACAAACAAAAGGAGAAATCCATCCAAAACCATGTTGAAGCTACTTCAAAAGTACTTAATTGGGGTGCAGGTATATCATGACAACCATAGAACCTACTACCTGAACCTACCCATAACCTGCCATGGAGTTCCATCCACTTAGGAATGGGCAAGGACCAATACGAAAACATCTAAGGACATGGCACATTTGAGCACATATCAAATAAGAAAAGGTTAATAAGTATATGAATAAGGATTTCTTTACAGAGAACGAGAGCAGAAGGAACAAGGTAACAAAGTTAACTAGTGGATTTGAATAAAGAAAAATCTAATCTAAACCCCATACAGTATTTGACATAATGACATTGCTTAAAACAAAGTTTAATAAATCATCACATCATATAACCAGGGAGTATCCAAAGATGATTTTTCTTGTTAGAGATGAGAGAGAAAAGGACCTGAACACATGACCAATAACTGATGTCACTTTAAAATGCACATGCACTCCAAGAAACTTTCCTTCAAATTCATGGACTTCCGTACTACCCCTTCTTGTAGACATCTGTATTATGAAAATATGAGCTGAATGTCAAAATGAATCATTGCAAAAAACATGGATTTATGATTCTTACAAGCAGAACTTAGAATAAAGCATGAAAATGGAAAGAAAAAAAAATGTGTCAAAGTGATACAGGGTACATTAAGTTCAAGAAATAAGCACATCCATAAACCAAAGAACTAATTTTCCTCCCATAATTTCAATGAGAACCTTATTGGCATACTCCACATTACAGAAATTATTCAGTTGTTTTCTCTTGATGCTAGTAAACTCCTGGTTAGGTTATATGTGTTCTCTCAAGTTTTCGAAGGCCCACTTTCTTTATATTCTGCAGGCATGCTGAAACCGGATGTAGTTTGAGGCTCATGGGTCCTAAACTCAGTTTTTAACTTTCTGTTACGTAATGAGGCCTGACTTTGTTATCTTCTTATAAGTTTCACTTTAACGTGTAAGTTATCCATTTAAGAATAAAAAAAGTTAGCCCAACAGTATAAATGCAGGTAAAGGAGTCAATATAAGGAGCAACCATCTCGCCCTCCTCCGACTGTTTATCTCTTAAGCTAAATTGCCATCCAAAACAAATAGAATAGACACTCACTTACCCTCTATTTCTGTAAACGGATCCTATAACCGACATCGAAGCTAAGCATCTAATAACCCTCCTTAGAAGTTAGAAGTAAAAGTTCTCTACTTTATGGAAGAATTAAGCACCTCTATGCCACTAAAACCAAATCATCCTAATAATTCACCCTCCAATTTCATGCCCGAACAAAAGAACGGAAATCAATCACCATGTTCTTTAACTGAAAAATAAAAATTGGGGTAGCCCAGTTCTCATTTCTAGCTGAGTTTACTCCATCTAAATGCTCATCCAACAAAAACAAAAAAAAATTGAAATTCCAGCTTCTTTGCTGCCTCTTATATTTTATTAGCATCCAAAAAGTCCTCAACTTGGAGCTTTAGAGCTTTGGAGCTAGGGTTTCAAAACGTGAGCTTTTGAGTGCAGGAGAGAGAGAGATAGGGCATACCTGGCCATGGGAGAGAACGGAGGCTATGGAAAGAGCTATGCTCGGCTTCTCGGCGACCTGCAAAATTGTAAAAGCACAAACAGAAAGGAGAATCAAAGACAAAATTGCAGGCTCCGCACAGAATCATCATACATCTTGTATGTCTATATATTGAGAGAGATGTATATACATATATATGTATACATGTATGTGTAGTGTTCGTTCGTACCATTAAAACTTTGTTGGAAGCCATATTTTTGATTGAAAATTTTGAATCTTGAGCTTTACAGAGCTTCAGTCTGACCCAATTTAAGGGGCGGTGGGTGGGTGGTTTTGTTTCAACTTTCAGCCTTGAGGGAGGAGCAGCTCACTCGACCCGACCGCCTGTTTTTCAAGCGCCAGTGAGGTCTCCGTCTCACTTATATCTCGGCCGTACGATTGAGTTGTTTTAGATCCAACGACTGAAACGTGTTCCCATGCCTCATATGTGGGTCATGGCTTTTTCGAGTGCGAATTTGCTCACGTCCCATTCAATGTGGTGACCGTTATCAGTACAGAGGATCATTTTCCTCGGAATCCAAGGATTCAGTAATTGTGATCGTTCATCGTTCATGATACGATCAGTTTTTATTAGGTATTATTTATGTTTAATTTTAATTTTTAAAATAATTTTTAATCGCGTGATAAACGATGAACGATCATGATCATAAGATACCTAGAATCCTCGTAAAAAAGATCTGGCAAGAATCATTTTCCATCAGTACCACCCTTCTCAAATCGCGATGTGCGCTTGTGATTTATTCATTGTTGATTATATTCTATTACTCGTCTGATATTTTTTGGTCACTTGAACTCACGACATTATTAGTTTCTTTGTTGTCGGGTTATTAGTTACTTTGTTTAATAAAAAAAATAATAATAATACATATGTATATATATATATAGAAAAAATTTAGGGGAAGGAATTTTTAATTTTATAAAAATTGGAATTAGTTGTAGGGTCCACACTACATCGAAATTTAACGATTTTAATTGTCTATTTTTCAAGTTGCACATCATAGATCATCCTTACAAAATATTAGCCAAATCATAAATGTTTAAGACATCTAATTGAGTTCAAAGAAATTAACAAATACTTGTTATATAAGAAACAATGAAATTTTATCTTGATAATTAAATAGGCAAATGAGTTTGGAATGAATTGAATTTTTGCAAGGATGATCTATAAATCAAGACTTACAAAATAGATGGTTTGGATAGTTAAAGTTCGATGTAGAGTGAGCCCCACATCTATCCCTATGTTTTGGAAAAAAAAATGGGAATCCATTTGCATAAGGGGCTATATATATCACTTGTTGTATTGCTCTTCATATACCAATAGTGAGTTGTAGGTATTGGATGGTGATATGCATCTCAGCAATATGAATCGTAGTATTGTGGCTTCTGTAATTACTTTATCTATAATTAATTTTGTTTTTTTAAGGAAAATAAATAAAATTCTCTCTTCTGAATTATGCTGCTTGCCACCATATGGAAAATCACGAGAGTGAAATTAATTCATCTTTTGACAAAAAAATAAAAAAATAATTCGTCTTGAAATGTTGTAGCGACACCGAAGAACATAGTAATATTATACGTTTGGGTTTTTTTTCAATGTATTTTTACGAGCTATATATGGGAGGAAAAAAGCCGGAAACCACTTCAACAGATGAAGGCCCTGCGATTGCTGCTGCAATTAGTCAAGTATTAACTGATTCTCACCATCGGCTTTGCTTGTGGAATATATTTCAAAATGCTGCAAACAACTTGAAACATGTGTTTTCGGAGTTTCAGAAGCTTGTAGATTTAAGGTTGGAACTAGAAGGTGACGATGGAGTAACACGGAGTGTATATATATATATATATATATATGAGAATTCAGGGGATCGGACAGTGAGGTCACTTACATATAACCCTTCTACGCAGTTGGTAACTTATACTTGCAGAAAATTTGAATTTCAGGGGGTTAGACTTGTCGAGTTTACCACCTGAATATTATTTGAAGAGAGGGAGCACTGATGCTCGACGACGAGATGTTGATTTTGATGCATATGGGGAAGCAAATTTGAGTAATCCAACCTCATCCTCCATGGTTCAATACAGCGAGTTATCTCATACAGCACAAAGAATCGTATCAAAGGTGCAAATAACAACTCATCGCGTGCTATAGCCAAGTCTGAACTGTTAAAGCTCGAAAGTCTTATGAGTTTTGAACAAGAAAATGCTCCAGCAAGTGATGCTGCACTGCACGGCAGGATCAAGTGGATGAAGATGTTGTGCATCTTAAATTTGCAAGGCCCAAAAATGCAGAAGTGCAAGCACTCTAAAAAGGTTAGTACGTGGGATTGTTTAAGCTACTGGCTATTTTTCTCACCGCTTGTGTGAGGGTTTATCTCTTTCTGAGAGCTGTTCTCACCGCTTGTGTGAGGGTTTTCAAATTAAGGTTTTCCGTTCAGTCGCCGGCCCTAGCTATGGTTATGGTCGGTGGCAGCCTTCACTTTCTCCTTTTTGGTGTTCTCTTCCTTTCCTCCTGCTACAGTTTTCCCCTTGCTAGCCTTTCCCTCCAGAATAATCTTTCCAACCCACAAACCGTAAATCCTACTCGCCAATGTCCTCAGAACCACTCTTTTCTTTTCTCTATTTCCTGTTATCCCTCCATCTTCACTCCTTCGTTCTTTCTAACTTGGCTTCGTCATTCATCAATATTATTCCAAATCCGGCTTGCAACTACTTTTAACCGCGATTTGTTGCGGTATATCGAGAGGGTGTGTAGAGTTTCGGTGTTCACGCCGGCTCGGGTGTTCTCACCACCTTCCTTTCTTGGTCTGCCTTCATTGGCACTGTCGCTAGTGGACATCCCACTGGCTTCTTTGGCCCGTGTTGCCTTTGTATATTTGTTTTGGCCTCTGTTTTGTAAAGTTTTGTTGGCAATAAAACTTTTGCCTTTCTTCCAAAAAAAAAAAGGTTAGTACGTGGTTAATTTGTATGTATTAGGGTTGCATGTGTGTATATGAAGTCTGTTAGAACATAATTCACGTGCAAGTGAGATATGGGGCTCATCAACGGGTTTACATGAGCATATCTAGGTTGTATTTTATGTGGAAATATCTCATATTGATCTTATCTCTGAAAACATAAAAATTTTAATATCTTAACCTTCACTCCAATTGATACCAAGGTTTTTTGTAATAAAACCTCACACATGTCGAACTATGTAGGTAGTAATTAACAAGTTAGGGACAATATCGATGTTGTTGAAAGTGGATCTTTGGCCCATCTCTCTAATAATTTGACATGATATCAGAGTCAGAGAGCGGGCACCTACTCCCACATGATGTGTGGGTTCCCTTGGCCCCGCATGTAAGATGAGTTCCCATGGCTCCACGTGATTGCCGATGTATATATGGATCTTCCACGTGTGACCCATTAATTTGGTCCCACGTGAGGGGACGTATGAAAATATCTCACATAGACCATATCTCTGAGAAAAGAAGAGTTTAAATATCTTAATCTCATCCAATTAATATCGAGGTCTTTTTTATAAAACCCCACACCTGTCAAACTGTGCAGGTGGTAATTAACAATTTAAGGATAATATTGGTGTTGTTAAAAATGAATCTTTAGTCCGTCTCTCTAATAATTTGGCATTTTCATAACTATTTACATTAGCATTCAAGATTTTTATATAGTTTCTTCTCGATCTAGGCTGATCTAATCAGAACTCGATCCATATACACCTAGAAAATTTGGACTACAATTTAGAGTAATATCTTTACAAGCCTTCAAAACCCAAGAAATTTGTGATTTTGACATGTGTATAACTTAGTGTCCTTTAAGCTCAAAAAGAAACTATCCATTCATATTACATTGTGGATATACAATAATATTTTTACACTTAAAAATAAGTTAATAAATTGGTACCGAATATATATCCATGATATTTGAATCTAAGACTATTCATAGGTACCACCACATCATGTTAATTCATTCAATCAATTTCTTGTTGGTTTAACATTTTTGCAAGTTCTTCGAGCTAGAAGGGATGTTATGTGACAAATAATGCATCCAACATTGCACAATCTCGTCCAATTGCACCCAAGATTACCTTATGATCCTTTGCAGGATTTTAGGGTTGAATTCGTTGTACCGCGAGTTATAGAGTATCTTAATCAAACAACAGAGAACATCGCGGTCAACGTTGGCATTTATGAATGAAAGACATAATACAAATAATCTAGATGGTGTCCAAAATGAAGAGGATCATCAAACAACGGAGCATGAAAACAACAACATTGGTGTGGCAAGGACTCAAGTTGAGAAAGATCATTAAACAACGGTGAATGATAACAACATTGATGTGACCTTAATTGTTGGCTCGAGTCGCTGCCGTACCAATGTTGATGTTATCATACTCCGTTGTTTGATAATCCTCTTCATCTTAGACACCATCTAGACTATTTTTACTAAGTCTTACATCTATAAAGCCAAGGTTGACCGAGGTGTTCTATGTTGTTTGATTAAGATATTTTATAACTCGCGGTACAACGAACAATTCAATCCCAAAATCTTGCAAAGGATGATAAGGTAAATTTGGGCGCGCAAACCGACAAGATTGTGCATTGTTAGATGTATTATTTGTCACACAATACCCCTTCTAGCTTGACCAACTTGCAAAAATGTTAAACCAACAAGAAATTAATTGAATGAATTATCATGATATGGTGGTATATATTGTAAAGATGTGCATGAATCACTCACGTAGGATTTGACCCGATCACCTTTAAACAACAGAATATTAATCCATGTATCTCCAACATAATTGTAAATCATGCTGCCGTGGTTGGGCCAAAACCTGCGAAAATATTTTATAATGTTAATTAACTAAAGAAATAAGAAATAATAAATTTTTGAATTCAATATTTAGCACTTTGGTTTGAAAAATAAAATAATGACCTATAAATTGAATAAATATAATATTTATGATGACACCAAAACTCCTTAATCAAAGTTTGAAAAAGACATCGATGTCAATTTATTCCTCACACCCCTTTTTATGAATATATCTTATTTCCAAAAAAAAAAATTCCTTTGAGAAAGCCCAAAAATTAATATGTAATATGAAAAAGCTACTAGACAGACACAAGGCAAAGGATAGCTTACCCGACATGGAGACGGAGGGAGATTAGTTGAGACAAGCGGTTCGCGAGAAAAGTTGGTTCTTGAAGAACAAATGGAACAAAAAAAGAATCAGCTTCTCGCGAACCATATGCTCGTTATTTATACTACTTTTGGTCGGATTTAACTTCAGCAACAACAATTGCGACCATGTTCTTCTTGGAAACATCTTTTCA